TTTAAACATGCTTACAGAAAAGATTTCTGTAGAAATAAAAGCTAAAAGTATTACATAGTAATTACAAATTGTTGACAAGTTTCTACTAAATTTAACATATATAGCCTTATCTAAGCTTAAATTCAGTGCTGATACACATGTAGCTTCTGTATTAGGTCAGTATGCTGTAGAGTTAATGTATGGAAGCTTTTTCTGTACTACTTCAGCACAGTTAAGGTGACTTGTGAGAAGCAAGACTGTAAAAGACAACTCTTACCAAGAAATGGATAGGTGCAACATTTTCGTAAGGGAAAGTACTGACAAAATATATTTATGAAATATCTTAGGCCTCTTAATTAACTTGTGGTAGTATAAACATGCTGAAGAAATTAAGCTAAGGTATTTAAAAAAATAAAAATAAAAATTGGACAGTCCAGGAAGCCTGATTTCTGTGAATACATAACATTTACTGAAGTCATTTGTAATCGGTAATATTTTTCACTAAATAATGTATATAATGAAAAACCTTAGTCAAGCTTCACTTAAATTTCTGTTCTTCGCTTGCTTAAATATTTTGGTTTAATACTCTATTTAAGTCTTAATTCAGTGGCTCGCTTCAGTTTAGAACAGGGTACCTTTAGTCAGGTGATAAAGTTGAACATGAAAATATTTTATTATGTTCTTTGGAGTTTGATACTGTAGAATATGGTTTTGATTCTCACAGCTGGACTTTTCCTGCCCACCTCATGCCATCACAAAAACTTCCAAACAATATTTGGTTTTATGATGCAAGCCCTGTCCTTGTCTAAATACAGATTATTAGTTTGTAATGACTGAAAGTCATTTCTTGGGGCATATGTGCTAATGTTGCTAATCAAGGATCTTGTAATAAAAGGTGTCCTACAATAAAAAATGCAGTAGGCATTGTAACCACATGTGCCTTGTGATGTAACACATCACAAGGCACATTGTTAACATGTAGAAAATCATGTTGGTTTTTTTCAAGCTACCCTGTGAAAAAGATGCTAAGATGGAAATGCTGACAGAGGGTAGTGAAAGACTCTTCACCTAAAGCTATTCTCCATTCTACCACAGATTGCATCTTTCTAGGACAGTTTACAAGAAGCAAAAATTCACATGTGGGGTTTCTTCACAGAAGTAGCTCTGTATATTAAACAACCATAGCGAAGATAAGGCTTGGACTCCATTGATTAAAGACTAAAAAAAAAAAAATTAAATCCACTTTTATGCTATAGTGTAGCCCATTTTCACCAAACTAACAGCATCAAGGAGAGAGAAAGCAAGCACCTAATGTACTAGATATGCAAAAGACCTGCTGGGTAGAAATAGCAGGTGCTAAAACTGATAGGGAGGTTTATATCAGATCTGGGGCCTTCGAGGAATATATTTGTTAGGAGTCTGCCAAAGGGTCTATGGGGAACGGAGCAGAGGAAATTAGAATGTATTTGAACCTTTTGCTAATTGGGCTAATGCAGGTTCAATAACTACCCCAAAGTAAGAAAGAGCATCTAAATCACTCAATATTACTTTTGTTGTCCTACCCTTCTGTTTCTGTCTGCATTTGGGAAATACATCAAATGTTTAAACGTTGTATTTTCCAACTTAAAAAATATTTGTATTACCTTACTGATAGAAATCTGTGGTAGTTTTCAATTTACTAGAAGAAATAAGAAATTGATATATAGGCTTGAGAGAAGTTAATAGTATGCAGAAGTGTTTGCCCTTGGGAAATAGCTGCTCAGATGGAACACAGCCATTTTAAGTCCCAAAAGTACATTTTCATCACCCGCGCTGTCTGGGTTTCCATCAGAGAGCTCAGACTGCCAAAGGGTGCCACTCCAGCACTTAAAAGGATTGTGCTTAGCCCAGGGTGTGAACATCTGGCAAGTTGAACATACCCAACTGTACATTCAGATCAATGTATTTGTCATGTTACTCTTTCACTTTGTTTTTCTGTTTATCTCCCTTAAAACCAGTAACAACTTTTAAAATTTTATTTAAAGAAAAAAAAAGGTATCTGGATTTTAAATGAGTGTTCTTTTACGCCTGAAATATAAAACAATAAATAGTGAAAATTTTGTGCTATACTTTCACTGTTAATAGACAAATTAAATTATGGAAGCAATTCTGTATGTTAATAATTGAGCAGGGCTTAATGTATAATAAAGTTGGGTCCAATTATATTTCTTGTATCTTTTTGCATCGATAAGAAGTGTAGCAGTGATGAAGGGCACATTGAAACAACCTAAAAAGCGTCATGAATTTTCACCATACCTTACTTGTCAGGTTTTTAAGCCTTGTACGCTCAATACAGTTAACGTATAAAATTGGTCTTTAAAGGAATCAACCCTACATTTGCAAAGGACTGAGTTAGGTTACCTGCCCTTTTCCAGGTCTGCTTTTCATGTCCTTTAAGACAGATAAAATATGATGCACCACAGTGTCAGCTTAACTCAGAAGGACTCCCTTTTGCAAACTATAGGGTGATCCACACTAAGGAATAATATCTGCTTGGACATCAGGTGTGATACATTTCTATAGTGACACCTCTGATTATCAGTTCTCTCTCTAGAACTATGTAAACAATAGTATAGAATTTAACTAAATAAAAAAACTGCCACTATGAAAACATTAAAGCCATCAGACTACTAAATGATTTCTTTTAAATAACACTTAATTAGTTATAAAAAGTTGAACTGGCTTATTGAACTCCAACATCTAGTCTTACTTTTCATTATCAGAGTTACTGTGCTGACTAATATGCAACTTTTTCCTTACTTTTAAAATTGATTTATGGATTTATGAAATTAATTTTACAAAAGCAAAATACAGGGAAAATCTGTTAATCGAAGCAGTATAACAAGGAATGTTTATGGTAGGTGTTTTTTAAATAGGTATCAGGTTGGGTTACATTTTTTAAAATTAATTTTTTAACAGTAGTTAGTATAGAGTTGGCAATAAAAAGTAAGACTTCTGAACAGTTTCAATAACATCCATGATTCCAAAAGACAAACAACAGTTAGTGTTCTGGAGTCTTTCTGTAACTAACTAAACCAGTATATTATTCTTACAGATAATTCTGTACTTTGGCATCTGAAGATAGAATATCTTTGGCTCAGTGTTTCATAACAACACAAATGTTCTGAATAGAGATACAGAAAAGTCATTTCTCAGCTAGCCCCTTTAGAGGCAATTTTTAAGGAAAAGTGACCTTTTCATTTAGATGAGAGGGCAGTTTAATAACTTTATAGAAATGAATCAAAAGGATTTTCTTTGAAACAGTGCCTGGTAAGTCTGCATTGCTACTGTCTAAATCCCTTTTAGGCAAACATGTACCTGTGTCTTTCTACATAATCATCACTAGAGGTGATAATAAAAGAGGTGATAGCAGTAAATAGAGTGACAAATTACAGTAGCTCTGTATTTATAATGCTGAATTTATCCCCCTTAATTTTTTTCAATTAATCTGTTTAGCATTACATGCGAGGTAGGTCTCATTAGCTTGTGAAACTGCTGCAGATGACAAAATAAAGAGCAAAACTAACAAATCTGTACATCTAATTGAAAATGAAAGAGTTACATGAAGAATATACAATTTGATCACTAAGTTCATTCATACTAAAAGGCAGATGTTAGTACCTCTGAGACAGGGCAGAGTCAATGATCAGATGCTACTTTTGATCTTAATCAATCCTGTCCCTATAGAGTGGATTACAGATTCCTTGTATTGTTTTGTTTTGTTTTTCCAAAATGTGAACTTCTAAGTAATACGGTTCACAGATTTCTAAATGAGAATTTCAAATCTCTTTAATACACTGGAGGTGAAGTAATAGAAATAGGTTTTGTTCTCTTAGAGCTTAACTCTTTAAGGTTCTGTTACCCCTAAGAGATGTTTGCTCCTGCACTGAATAGTTTTCAATAGGCTCTTCTGAGTACTTAAGGCTTGACAGAGCTTTCGCCATCTTGCAGAACTAAGTTTTCCAGTGAGTCCTTAGTATGAGCTAGAACTAGTTCCTTTTAGCTCCTATTTGTTAGACTCTTGCATTAAAGCTGTGCAAAACATAAAAACTCAGTTTTCTGCCATGCCTAGCAGTGCAGTGGAGGAGCTATGTGCAGTTTGGACATAATAGCAGCACCCAAGTGTTAAAACTTCACCCAGGTTCTTTGTTAATCCCACACAACACACAAGTAATTGAAGGAAGCTATGTATATGCATATAAAGGAATCATTTGATGTTAATCCTTATACATGGTTTCCACTAACCCAAATCCTGTTTGCTTTGACTTCAGAAAGGACAAATCAGGATTTGTGCTGTAGTGAAGTTGTCTGCGTTTTGAAATATTAGTGTATTTAGAATGTCTCTTTTTATGCTACCTGGTTTAAAAAAGAATTTTGCAAGAGAAGGTTTCTATTAAATTACTCATATCTCTAGTTTATTCTCCTAAGATTCTACAAAAGACTTTTGTATGTATTTGGATGACAGTATATGGGAATATACTATGTCATTTTTTAAATAAATAGCAAAATTTCGTTTTCTGATTGCAATCATATTAGACATATAAAAAGACAAATATTTTACTTTCAATATCCTCCTTTCAGATGCACGAAGTAAATTGCAATTATTTTTTGCAAAAACTGCTTTTTACATATTTTGCAGTAGTGCCCTTTAATAGCTATATCAATATAAATACTGTTTTATTTTTATTAGACTTCATAAATATATCGACATATCTGTAACACTAAACATAAAGCTTCCAATGCAAGAGTTTGTACATAGTCCATATCCAAATGTCACCATTATTTCATTTAAAAGATCCCAGCATGTCTGCCTCATGATCCTTATAAACTCTATAGTACTGAAATACGTCAACACTTTTTCTTGCTACATTCATTAAAACTAAGAACCCTTACCCTACCCCATCTGTAAACATCAAGTCAATTGGCAGCTAGCACATTTCCCAGTCAGCAAGCAGTATTGTGAATTTTATCTTCTCTTGCAGAAATCAATTCGTCTTCGTTGCAGCAGATGAAATTTCTTGTAACACCTCTGCAGGTAACAATCATTGATACTTCTTGATGCATCCATCCAGGTCTCAATATCCTTTTTCACATGCTGCATTTAATCGTAAGAGAAAGCATAGGAAAGTCCATAGTATAAATATTTGGAATAGTTTAATTAATTTATAGCTTGAGTCTATAGGTTCTGCCATATAAAAGATATTAGGTTATTTTGCTGACTTTGGTGTTTTATTTCCAGTTTAAATATCATATGGCCTAGAAAAGTAAGGATATGTTAAACCTTCTAATACGCACTTACCGTGCAGTACAATCAAGTTTGTGACTTTAAGCAAGCCAAAACAAACAGAACTAATGAAAAGAGTAAAGGTTTGGATATATGTAGGACATTGTAAGTGCTATAGATTTAACAATTTTCTTTCCAACTCTTTGGGGGCAAACGTTGCCCACAGGAGTACTGCAGACCCTAAAGCACTCGCAAAGTCTATCCTATGGATAAGATAGTGGGAGGGAGGGTCTGTGCCTTCAGAAGATCTCTCTCTAGTAAGTAACAAGTCTTAGCTGCTTTGCTAATGTGCTATCATGTTGTAAGCCATGGGTACAGAAAAGTGAACAATGTTTTTTAAAGGTAATGGTAATTTATAAATATATTGAATATGTCAAGATATTTTCTCAATTTTAAGCAATAGAGTTTGAAAAGTCTTAGTCTTAATTCAGGTAAGGATGATATTATGTCACTACATAAGAAATCAAAAGCCAAAATAAATAGTAACAGTGCTGGGACATATTCTGCCAATAATGTTATGCAAAAACTCTGCTGAGTTCGTAGAAGCTGCTTGTCTTGAAGGGTGAAAGAATATATAGTGTGACACAAAACATTGGTATTAAGAAGTGTTTATAGAGTTTTACATTATCAGAAAAAAAGGAAAGGTGAAGCGGTTTCTGTTTATGCCATAGTGACCTACATAGAAACAAATAAAGAACATTTATTTGTGAAAATGAAGATCACAGCTAAAGCCAAAATATGCTAAAACTGTAATCATCTATATGCTAGCCATAGCACTTTTGGTGGTAATCTGAAAAGTTCTTCTGTAACATAACCTCATTTAATACAGATTTTTCAAAGTCCTAAATCATTAAGAGAATACATTTCAAGAAGTCAACATTTGACACTTTCTAGATTTCTCTGGACTTGGATCTTGGCTTTCCGTGTTTCACTTATGCTTCAGCTCAGCTCTGGATTAGAGTGAGCTGTAGTAGGGAGGCTGCAGATTTATAGATCTAGGCCTTGCTAAGTGAGAATAAATATAATTATTTTAGCAATTTTTTAATTTGAAATTCTTGAGACAGATGTGCAGTCTTTAATATCTTTCTTGTCCTGAAAACAATTTCCTATTTTGCAGAATGAACCCTTCTAAGCAATAATGATGTCTCTAATAAAGACATCTTTTTCCCCCTCATTTCATGGTCTAAGACTATATTACAAATATTCCATATTTCACTACTTTGGAATTCCAGTCAAAAATATAGTGCTCTTATTTATCAATAAATTCAGTGAACTTTATACAGAAGGAAATGGATATCTGTGTATATTTACTGAAACTTTTCAGTTTACCAGTTGATTACCTCTGTTGAATTGATTCAACAATAAGGTATTTTTGTTAAATATGTTTTTGACCATATGATAAACATAACCATCATTGGTGACTGTAGGTGCCTTTTTTGTAATATGATCAGAAGGAGAAAGCTAATGAAAGCCTGTGTCTTCTGTTCCTTGTATGCCAAAGTTTTAGTCATAGACTTCTAAAAGACTTTTGACTTTCTAAAAATAATAATTCTCTGGCCCATTATCCTGTGGTACAAGTTGCCAAAGTTGAATTTGATCTTTCAAATCTGTAAGTTGACTTTCAACTAATTATTATCTGATGTTTTGTGGTTTAATACATGGAGCATATATAGATACATACACTTTTAGGACCAAAGCTAACCTTCCTGTGGTTTTCAGATGCATGCAAAACGCCTACAGTACAATTTTATAGTGCTTTTTTTTAGTGCTCCTAAACTCAATTACAGTAATTCAACTGTGTTTGTAAAATTGATATAAAATTAAGATACTGATAATATGCTTTGTTTGAAATGTGAGTTTATGTATGTTTGTATTGTTTCCTTGTAAAGAATGTGTGTGTTTGTAGATTTTAAATAATAATATAACAAGTAAACTTTTGGTTGGAACTTTATCATCAAATGGAAATGGGAGGTCTTGGGCAATTCTACTGGTAATATTCACTCTTCTCTTCCTAATACTTTATCATTCCTGCCAGAGGATACTTACCCCTCAGCCACATGACATCTTTTCTGACTTGGGAATAAAGTAATCTTGAATAAATAAATGTGTTAATGACTGGATAGTGTGTCCACATACACATTTTGATTTATGTATGTGTATCTGTTCTTGCATACACGCTAAATAAAAAAAACCTATTCAAGTATCTGACAGAGGGATCCTTCCATGGGAAATTTAAAAATATTTCACTCTTGACTGCATCCAGTGCGTTCTGAGGCTAAAAATAATTACTCTTCAGAAGAGAAGTTCTGTGCTTCTGGGATAGCTCTTCTCTGGCAAGCATGATAAAGAGTTTGCAGACAGACCTGAACTAGAACAGAGGTAGGGAAACTGTCTGAAACCACCTACCGGTTTAGTGACGGAATTTTAACAAGAATCTCTGAAGACCTTCCTTTAGCAAATCTCTGACAATGAGTACGTTAGGGGAGATCTAATCTTGAAGTTCCTGGCTGATGGGAGCAATGGGCATCTTGCCCCTATCAGGCTCCTAAATAAATCAGAATGAGACCCAGTATAAACCCATGGTTTATTTACATGTCGGTTGCAGACCAGTGTTCATTTTGAATCTTTAGCATTTTTAATGAATTTTTCAAATCAGTACTCAATGTATTTTTTTTTCTTTTATATTTTGTAAGATCAAAATTCATAGTTTGTGAAGAAAAAAATATTTTCTAGTATGTTTTCCAAGTGCATTCTGGGATGTACCTGCATATTACGTTTTATGATTTTTGTGTAAATATGGGGCAGGATCATTATTCTATATTTATATCACTCTTTCTTTCTTCCTCCAATTTTTAACTGTTATCCAACTTCCATCTACAAACAGAAAAATCCAGTGTGGTTGCATGCCTGGTATTATTTTTCTCCCAAGTGTATATGCAGTTTATGATTTTGAAATAACTGAGAGGCAAGTGTATATATAAACTTGAATTTGGAATGAAGTATGGTGGAAGTGAATATAACATCTGTCCAATTGTGACTGTTTTTATTTACATATTTGAGCAGAATCATCCCCAGGAGGCGGGATTGTGTGTGTGAGCAAAAGAAATGCATTATAAAGCTTTAGAAGCTGACAGTCTTAGATTAAGTTATTGACCTCCGTTTGGAGAAAGATTCAGTCTCCAAAGCAGATTAAGCATTCTGAAAGGTTTGCTTTTATAACTCTAGGAAAAATGTTTCATAAAAGCAGGCAACTTAAAGAAGCAAACGTTGGAGTTTGTACTATTGAAATAGTGTGAACAGAATATTGGCAATTTTTAACCAATGGAATAGCTCAAGTCATTGCAATTTGCCCGTATTCTATCATTAACCTATCAACTCTCACATTACCAAAAAATTAATTAATGAAACAGTAGCCAATATGGAGATACTTCTTTGAAAGCAAATTACTTTTTAACAAAGTGCTTAGAATGGTTAAGGTGCCTGTTGTGGCATGCCTCTGCTCCAGTATGTAAATAATTGTAGCTGGTCAAAATTTTGCCATACGTGCTTGCATACATCTCATTGACTTATTCACGGGTCTGGTAGGAGATATTGATCAGATTATACTCTTTCAAAGGAATTTCCAAGAAGTATATGTAGTCCAAACTGCTTCAGAAAAATACAGTTTCAGAGATAATTCCTTCAGCCTATTTGCATTGCTGTGTAAAGACACATGTTCAGTTGTGAGAGGTTCTTCCCTTTTAGTGTTGCTGCCTATGGCTTTGACTTCATTTCATGAAGCAATTTGACTGGGAAAATAGCCGTTTTCTATGAGATGTTTTTATTATTATGTTATGCTCTTCCACTAATCAGATAAAATAAAAAATGAAGATGAAGGAGCATCTGTAAGGGCTCTGTGCTAGTATTTATTTAAGACTGTACTGCCTTCCCCTGTGAAAAACAGCAGACACTGGAGTTTTTGCTCTGGAAAGACTAGGAAATGTGGTACTAATGCACATTATGAAACAACTTCTATAAATTCAAGTGTCCTTTCTGTTGGCAGTTTAAACTTGCGCTTACTGCTGCTGTAAATAATTGCTTATATGGAAGTCCATTTGTTACAACTTTTCCTGGTAGTTGTGTGGTAAAAATGTTCGGCTATTGGATCAGTTGATACAAATCAGCAAACACTTTGATTATCCTCTGTTCTTCTTTCATGAAGCTTGATTAATTCCTTTTTCTCACCCAGTGAAAACACTGGCAGCCCTTTCTGGCATCTTTGTCATTATCTCTTTGACAGCTTGCCTTCCCAGTGCTTACAGTTCTAGGTCAGTTCGCATGGCTAGTCAAATGTGACAACATGACAAGATTAAGTAAAGCTGAGGTTCTGTGATTTGTAAATGGAGGATTTGCAATGTGAAGCTCCTTTGATAACAGAAATAGTGAATAATCTGTGTTTGTCCTCAACAAGTGCGTTATAAGCATGTGCGCATCTTCTGTACTGTTTTTTTAAATGAAGCAACCAGAATTTTTTTCTCTGATATACTGAAAACAGTACATGTGGAAAGGTGGTTTGTGTGTGTGCGTGTATGTATGGTTATATACAAGTACCTTAAATAAACAAGGATTCAATTTTAATATCTTGAGATTATCATATTACATGTAAAATATTAAACAACAAAATAAGGCTTGCATTCTACAGAACTTTACACTTAAGCACAAAAGACTGTTTTAAATTTTAATAAAGTACCCAGTATATTTATTACTGAACT